CGGCTTTGAACTGTTGGCGAGGGTCAATATAGCCGACGTTCGAGAGTCAATCAAAGCCGGTAGCCCGTAGATCGGCAGAGACGGCCTCCAAAACGGGGACCGAGCATAAATATCCAGGTTAGGAAGTCATGGGCACCCCAGGAAGGCTCCATTGGATTTCCCCAGTAGGGGACCCCACAGACCCCAACTATTGGCGGCCTAATCATAGGTGATTGCGCATTGCATGAAAAAAGGGACTTGATCCTGTGGTTTCGTGTATATTGCTGCGGAATTAAGAGCGAGAGGATTGCATGAAAGGAGCGCGGACGCGTGGGCAATGACTGCTAGGAGCACAACAGCCACTTTTGCACAATGCCGTCAGCCTGCGTGACGGCTATGCCGCCTACCCGTCGGAGCAGGCTTTGGCGGGCAGAACGAGCTGCTATAGAGGTTAAGATCGTCATCCTGGCGCACAAAGGGTCAAGAAAGCTTAATTGCAATTGGCAGAGGACCCAAGATTGTCAAGACTGGACAACGTCAATTGGCTACCAACGCCAAGGGTTCTTGTGCAGACGATCGACATCCTCGCATCTCAGACTTCAACGCGTTGTAACGCTGATCCGGAGCAGACCCGGTGGATCAACTGTATTTTTCCCTGTTGTTCAGACCATGTGAGTGATCCAACCAACAAGAGATACCATGCCACAGGTCTCTTGGCCCAGGGGCCCGCCCAAGTGCTTCCACTGTACACGGTTTTGGTAACATTTGATGGATACACGGCTGCTGATTGTGGGTCATAATGTACATCTTTACTCCTTCACGAAAGACACTGCGCCTGTTAGTCAACCAGCTCGCGAGGTATCTCCAGCTGGGTTCGTCGCTCTCACGCGTGGGAACCCCCGTGGAGTTTGGGATCGATGATTGTCTGCCCCCGCTTGAACATATGGGCTGGCAGCCATATTGATAAACCCCAGCAAGCCCAGTGGTCCCCTCTCTCTCTTCTTCAATCGGCCCTGCAAGCTTCTCTGCCACAGTATATATTTCAAGATGGCATCTCAAGATCCGCAAATAGCGCACAGTCCTGCCAAAAGGTAGACGTTCAACTTCCCAGCCTTGCGAAGCACTGCCGCTGACTTGACTAGCGCTGATGACGAGAAGTATATCGGTGAAAAGCAAGAGACCGCCTACATCGACTTGGAGAACAGCGCCACGGCAAAGTATGCCAAATACCCAGCACTGCGCCCTTATGACTGATAGATGACAGGATTAAAAATCCCTTGGCTCACCTATCCAACGAGGAAGTCATCAAAGATGTCGAAGAGTTCGCCAAGGAGAACGACTTTGTAGACATGACGGACTTACTCGTGAAGGGTGCTCTCGTCGCCAAGGATCCTCCGGCCTTTGAGAGCGTGCCGGGCCTCAGTGAACCCGAGAAAGAAGCCATTCGAAACGAGGTCTTACACAAATGGCGCCAGCCAAAGTCACTCTATTTCACAATCATCCTTTGCTCGATTGGTGCAGCTGTACAGGGTTGGGATCAGACTGGCTCCAACGGTGCAAACCTCTCCTTCCCAGATGCCTTAGGCATTCCAATTAGCGACCAGTTGACCAATGGACAACCGAATCCTAACGCTGCCCGCAATCAATGGTATCAAGGACTGATAAATGCCGGTCCATATATTGCCTCGGCGTTCATGTGAGTATCCTGGTGCTAATGGGGACACCACAATACTAACTACCCTTAAGTGGTTGTTGGTGCTCTGATCCACTAAACAACTTCTTTGGTCGACGAGGAGCCATTTTTGTGTCCGCGGTCTTCTGTTTCTTGAGCCCGATTGGTTCTGCCGTTGCTCAAAGTAGGTACACAGTCGGCATCGACATGGACAGCTTTCTTACCTCGTCCAGAGTGGGATCAACTTCTCGTCACTCGACTTCTGCTCGGGATTGGTATGGGCTGCAAAGGCTCGACGGTTCCAATCTTCAGCGCCGAGAACGCTCCTGCATCAGTCCGAGGAGGTCTAGTCATGAGTTGGCAGATGTGGACTGCTTTCGGTATATTTTTGGGCACCTGCGCCAATCTTGCCGTGAAGGACACTGGCTCGATCTCGTGGCGCCTTCAGTTTGGCTCTGCCCTGCTTCCTGCCCTGCCTCTTCTGATCGGAGTCTACTTCTGTCCAGGTACGTCATTTCGGCTTTTTAGGTCAGGCCACACGATTGACAATGCTCAGAATCTCCTCGTTGGTACATCAAGAAAGGGAAATACCGCAATGCCTTCAGGTCACTCGAGCGTCTTCGAAACACCAAACTTCAGGCTGCACGTGATCTGTACTACATCTTTGCTCAACTCCGCATGGAAGCCAGCTTGGTCAAGAAGCAGACTAACTATGTTACTCGGTTCATGCAACTTTTCACGATTCCACGAGTTCGTCGCGCCACTCTTGCATCCTTCACTGTCATGATTGCTCAACAGATGTGCGGAAGTAAGTAGATGGGGTATCCATTGTATCCAAGCGGAAAGCTGATTCATACAGTCAACATCATTGCCTTTTATAGCTCCACCGTATTTTCGGAAGCTGGAGCCTCAGTCACGGATTCACTGTTGGCGTCCTGGGGCTTCGGATTGGTGAACTTTGTATTCGCGTGGCCCGCCATTTGGACCATCGATACGTTTGGCCGCCGATCTCTCCTGCTGTTCACCTTTCCTCAGATGGCATGGACATTGCTAGCTGCCGGCCTTTGCTATTTAATTCCTTCCTCAAGCTCAGCACATCTGGGTCTGGTGGCTCTCTTTATCTATTTGGTATGTCGGCAAGTCTTCCCTGCATGAAGGTGACCTACTAACAACGCAACAGTTTGCGGCCTTCTACTCGCCAGGAGAGGGGCCTGTGCCATTCACATATTCCGCCGAAGTCTTCCCTCTTTCTCACCGTGAGGTCGGTATGGCTTGGGCAGTGGCGACCTGCTTGTTCTGGGCTGCCGTGCTCTCAATCACTTTCCCCCGAATGCTTTCGGCGATGAGCCCAACGGGTGCGTTCGGGTTCTACGCAGGCCTGAATATCTGCGCGCTTGTTATGATCTTCTTATTCTTGCCCGAGACCAAGCAACGGACCTTGGTGAACCTCCCTGCGCTTTGTGTATTACGAGAATGGTGCTGACTGGTCACGACAGGAGGAGCTTGACTATATTTTTGCCATTCCAACCCGTACTTTTATGAAGCATCAAGTTGGTACCGTCCTGCCATGGTGGATCAAGACGACGATCTTCCGCCGCAAGATTGGCCCTTGCCCTGCGCTGTGGTCGTTCGATGGCCATGTGGATAACGATAAAGAGTTCGTCGAGACTATTCGCAGACAAAGCGAGGCCGTTCACGGTGGTCGCCGCCGCAGCAGCATTGCGGGCAGGATTGCCAACAGATTCTAAACTTGTTCGCTGGTGGGCAGCTAACCTTGCCGAAGAGCACAGAGGCAAATTTGAACCACGAGGGGATATGAACAACCTGGATCATGCTCGAGGCGGACGGAATTCACAATAACCTAAGTGGAGAACCGTGTTTTGTTACAGAAACAAATTGGCACTAGGGATGAATATATAAGTTATGTAGAGAAACATCCAATAAATAATGAAGATGATAATAGGACCAAGTAGGGATGAAGATCTGTCTCGATAAACCCACTGGAAATTGCTCTTGCGTGAACCAGCAGGTAGGATGCAGCGCTGTGAGGTACCGTTGCGAAAAAGATCCGGCCAGACAGGTGGAACTTTGTTCCTGCTTCTCTGGTCGCTGCGGTCCGAAATGTATCCAAGAGCAGGTCGACTTTGCGACTATAGTCTGAGATTTTGATATTTGTCGTGAAGCTATCCTATTAGAAATGAAACACCGGATTCATCCACTTCTTGTGTGGATGCAGATTGGACTGCGCGACGGAAGGCGAGGATCGGAAGCCCGTGCAAGAATTAGACATTTCAGAGTCGTGAGAGAAGCTTTGCGATATGGAATGCGGTACAAGTTTACAGAATGGAGCAACTTTGCTGTTCGCTGCGCAAAAGGCAACTATTGAGATATATTCCGGATGGACCCGCGACTTTGAACATAAGTCAAAAAAAAATAGCTTGCGGTCTGACGGGAAAAAACGCTTCTGTCTCGGTAGAAGAGTGCATAACCCGTAAAAGTGTTCAGTAATAACTAAGGATACCTCTCATTGTGGGAGGCAAATAGAGAAAATACATCTTGAAAGACCGTGCGACTTTTTCCATGTCCCTCGCTGGTCTCCTGATAACTACGTCATGGTCGCGTTTTATCCCTGAGCGATGTATCCGCCAACATCCAGCCAGCCTTCTCAATTAATGGGTACAAATGGCAATGCTTTGCCAGGCCGCTTGATGTGCGCCCTCGCACACAGCTGCGTCTTGCTCCACGATTCGTCAAGAAAGAGATAGCACGAGGCTACACTAAAATAAAAATATCCGAAATGGCTGAAAAATTGCAACAAACAGCCCAAAACATTGTTGACGACATCAAATCTGGCCTCCATGGCATCCATGGAGCAGGTGATGCTCTCCGTGGCGGCGCAATGGAAGCGCTTGATAGTGTCTTCAACAAACATCAGGGCGAGGAAAGAAATCGGGAAATCACCGAGCGCGGTCTAGCAGAGATGAGAGGGACCGAAAACCGATTCGAAGAAAGATACCATCAACATGAGGCGCATCATGCGGGAGCCGAGCACGGCGTCGGACACGATCACCACGGGCACGACGGCCATGGAGAAGGGAGTCATTTCGCAGACGCTCATGCAAGGGATGCGGCAGCTGAAGATCATTATAAAGCTACAGGAATTGTGTCCGAGAAAGGCGACAGCATGAGCGCAGCCCGGGCAGCGATGGAAGAAAAGTATTGAGCCGAGCGGAGTCCCCTAGCCCTGCACTCAATATGTCTGCCAGAAAGGGCTCATCAGCGGCAATCTGCATCTGTGATAGCATCCTTCATCCCCATGCGATCCCAATGATGGTCCGTTGGCCCTTAGTCAGAATTCCGAAATCCCATCTTTCACGACGATCCTCCCAACGTCAGCATCCCTGGCCCCCTCTACAACACTCCTGATGAATTGTCCACCAATACTCGGGTGCTTCGCTCCCATCTCTTTTGCCAAATGCCGTGCATTGCCTAAGTCTGTTTCCAAGAATCCAGGTCCGACAGCCCAAACCCTGACCCCATCAGCTTTCAACTTGTGATTCCAATCCACCATCAACATATTAAGCGCCGTCTTGCTACATCGATACCCGATCGTCTCAAACTCGATCTTCTTGGGCCACCCGGCTGGTTGGGGGGGCGTGGGAAAATAGGATCTGCTCGCTTGCGTGACATTAGAGAGACCTGTGACAAAGATCAAACGAGGGTCGGTAGATTTGAGCAAGAGTGGCATAAATTTCCAGGTAAAGACATTTGTGCCTGCAACATTGACATTGTATGCTCTCAGGAAGCACTCGCGGAGAGAGATCTCCCCGGCTACAAATGCGAGATCAAACGTTGCTCCTAGGAGTGGTGCGGTCAGCTCGCGTTGGATGTTACGTGAAACGGGGAATGATAATACCTGCATTGTTGATCAGTGCATCGATATGTCCCGGACTGGCCTTGACCTGATTGAATGCCTTTTCAATCGACGCGTCACTGGTAAGATCGACTTGGAGCGCTTCAATCGTGTTGGCAGACTCGGAGCATTCTTCGAGGAGCTTCTGAATTGCACCCTCAGCTTTCTCGAGGGAGCGACTGCCCATGAGGACATGATACGGCTGATTGGACTGAAGAAGTGCCTTGACTGTCTCATAGCCGATGCCGTTGTTGCCACCTTTCTCGCCCTTAGCCAGTGATGGAGAAACAACACCTGGGCAGCAAACAATAATTCTGACCTGTGACAAGAGCAATCCTTCGAGCTGCCATCGTTGGTGTCGTATAATGTTCTCTGAAGGGCCTTCACGAGTCTTCAGTCGATTACGAAAGCACTTAGTTTCATCGAATTGTCTCCTTGGGTTTCAGATGTTTTTCGGCCTCGATTTGAGTATGACAAGTTCTTATACATTATTACTTCCTGGATTTAAGGCGGAATGGAGTTGACTTCATCCGTGGACGTTTTAAATAGAAGGCATCTTGCGAGTGTGGAGTCTTTCCCCTATCCTAGAGTATTTCATTGGCTATTTCTCATCGAACAACTAGAACCTAGTCCTTCTCAGGGCAAACTCGGCGAGATCTGGGAATCCTTCCGGAGATAATACGACTACCGTCTATATCGCCCCCTCCGCAGCTTGCTTCTTAGATGACTTCACTGCCCAGTTGCCATGAGTTTACCTCCGCTAGTGCAAATTATTCACAGAGCGAAAATTTTGTGTTTAGTGCACTTGGTGCCTTGTGTGAGGAGCTCAGCAATTCACGACTAGATCAGATCTACCGAGCAAGTTTCATCTGAAGGGATCCAGAGATTGCCACACAGACATTTTCGAGACGCCGAAGCCAATATGAGATTCCACGATATTATGCTCTTCGATAGCGCCACGATATGAAGGTCTCATCAGCAATCGGAAGCTCTTTACTTTGACGCAAAGTCGACCACTTCATCGGGTATGAGGAAATCCTCAGTCGTTGAACTGTGAAAGTTAATGTCGGGGCCTTCACTGCTTAATGTACCTGTGACTACCTCTTTCGAGAACTTCAACTTCGTCTCCGGTATGTATACGAAAATGTCCTTTTCCACTCTCGCTGCAACATCGCGAACTGATGCAAAGTTCAAGAGATGTACCGGATACACGCCAGCAAACCGCTACGGGCTGGTAGCCAAGCTGTTCTTTTCTGGCGCACAACGAAATACCTCTCGCTATGCGTTTGGATCGACTCTGAAGAGTGTCAGGATCTGAGGCCCCACCGAATAATCAAAAATCAGCGGGCAGACGAACGCCATAATCCACCCACCTTGGATTGTCTCCAAATCATGACGTTTTCGATAGGATACCTATGATTTTTTGCAGGAACGAGCGGGACTCGAAATGACTTTTCCAGCGACATGAATCCAAGCCCTAAGAAAAGCCGGAAACTCGAAGCCTAAGGCTCGACAGATGTGTTACTACTATCCAGCCTCGATCGTGGCTCAGTGTCTTGGCAGTCGGACTCGGAAGCCAAATTTCCGGCTTGGCAAGAGCCAGTCTCTCCCAGCCAGGTTGCCTTAATAATAATGTTCTGAAAGTCCATTTCAGGCTCTTTCCAGCTTGCGAAGCGTCTGAGCGAGTTTGAGGCGGAAGTAGTTCTGCGAATGCAAACTTTTGGTCTGTTCGTCACTAATTTTGGATGGTCCGCGTAAAACCACCTGCTGGCAGCATTGATGCGACAGTCGCATTCTCCAAGCATCTTGCAGGCAAATTAGTGTGAATGCGACCAAGAGTGGCGGAATAATGACCCCAACTTGGTCCATACCAGATGTTGGCGAAAGGGCAAGTTTGATGAGCTCAAGGCTCAAAAATGATGTAGGATGGGCATTGATAACTACACAGTTCTGGGTAAAACCGTTGCGAGCAGCCAAGAATGCTTGAAAGCCCAAGCGCTTTGAAGCCTTCTGTTATACAATGAGCGGCATAGACTTAGGAATGGAGCTGCATCGAATTCTATCGGGTACCTACGAAGATCCCTGGGGAAGTCTTCGGAGGTGCGCAAGTCAGATAGTGAGTCAGGAGAAGTCGACAAACCCTTGGTCAAGTGCTGGTGGCGTTTGTTGTCTGACAAGTCATTTGAATCCCCACCTGCCTCGCCGTCTCCCCGTCTCGATGTCCACAACTCTTGGCCACTTCAGTTAAAATCGGCCCTGTAAAGGCGTGGCGGCTTAGAGCATTTGGGACAATAGAAATGGCTGCCGTGACTGACTCGTGATCATTTAATTCTTTATCCAGCAGCTGAACTTCGCCATGACCTTGTCAGCTAGCCCAGAAAGCATTCGACAGACTCATCCTTCAGCAAGGGGCTTCAACATGTCCACGGAGCTTACAACTAAGACCAAGAATGGAGGACGGAGAAGCAGATATCCACAATTTCTCGACCTCACCCTCTCAGCATCGGCTACCGACCGTCTCCGCCATTGAAGCGCTGACAAAGATATCATCTAAATCTCAGGGGATACCCTGTAGTCTCCCAGCTTTGGATACAGTACTCGCAAATGAGATCAATGGACTCTCAACCACAACACCGGGAATTCAAAGGGGCCATGTGACTGAAGTCTACGGACCACCAGGAGTCGGCAAGACCACCTTTGGTCTGCAGGTTTCTGTTAATGCACTTCACTCGAGCTCCTCGGATTCTGAGGTGCTGTGGGTTGACACAGGTTCTCCCTTCATTGAAGAGAGGCTGGACGAGCTGTTGCGCTCGTACACTATATCCGCCGATTCTGATCTCCCCTCATCACCTTCAGAGCCTTCAGACGCCGAGTTTCTCCTACAAGACAAGTTCACCTATCTCAGAGCTCACACCCTGCCTCGTCTGTTGACAGTATTTTTACATCCTCTCCGCTCGTTTCCTTCATCAAAGACGGGTTTAATCGTTGTCGACGACCTCTCCAACCTCCTTCTTGGCTCATTTTCTCGAAATCCGAAGAGCCTTCAGTTGTCGGCCCCGGCTGCTGTGAGGGAGAAGTCTGAAAAGCAAACTGTGTCAAAACGCTTTCAGATTATTGAAAATCTCGCTGCTGCAATGTCAAGGATGGCCGCTCTGAAGAACATTGCAATCCTAGTCTTAACGAACACAACAACGAGCTTGAAAGGTCAAACTAAAGCAACCCTGAAAGCGGCATTGGCCAGTCAAGCTTGGGACTCCGCGATCCATACCCGAATTATGCTTTACCGTGGCTTCACTGACGATAAACAATTGGATGCAATATCAGGGACGCAATCCCCACGTTTACGGTATGCGGAAGTTCAACGAATGGCTTGGAAAGACGTCTGCATGCACCCAGTCCCATTCGTAATCCTGTCCAAGGGCCTCCGAAACCTGAATCTGGCCACCTCACCCCGTAAAACTCAGGCGGATGCTGAAGGCGATGGTAGTGCAGGAACATTCATTGCCGGCAGGAAACACGACCTTCCATTTCACCCTCTTGAATTCACCCAATCATCCCAAAAAGACCAGCTACCACAATCCAAAAAGCGCAAGGCTTTGGAAATCGCTGACAGTGAAGATGAGAATGAAGAAAGTGGTGCTGAAATACAATCGGACTTCGACGAGCCCGAACTCCCAAGGATGAACTCGGAGCCTCGTCAGAAGATAGAAGAGATGATCCTAGAGACACACGAGACGGCACTACTGAGGAGGGATCGGTATGCTCGAATCAGAGGGTCAGAAGACGAGATCCCTGCGGCGTCATCGGAATTGGGAGAAGAAGCCGCCGTAGCTTGTCTTCCGGGCGAAGGCACTCCTTGAGAAGGGCGGTCCAGAATAGACAATTCGTTGCCAGTATCGAAACCCTTATTGTACTCCTCCAGCTTCCCTTTTCTAGTGTGTCAATGACATCCTTTCACCCTCGAAGCATAACTTGCGATGAGTTCGAGGCACCGAGGAGGGAACTATTGGGCTACAGGGATTCCTTCCTGTAATAATTAGATGGATGCGGGGCAGCCAATTTTAGGTGGCCTCTTTTGCCCCAGCCTCTCTTGGCCCCCCGGGTCCGCTGCGGTGGCCGCAGTATCCACTCTAGACCCCCGCCTAGTGCTGCGCGCAATATTCGACTGTCTGACAGCAGGTATTCATTGCTTTGTGTTTCCTCGAACCGCCAATGCTTGCCTGGCTCGTGCCTGAGTCTCGATTCAGCTGAATAGACACCTAGACATCTTCTCTCGCACCTGCCCACAAAAGCTGTTCTTTTATGAACTTCCTCATTCTCAGACTTGCGAGATCTTGAGGCCATCTTCCTGTCTTCTTGGTGGCACATCCCCTCTTTGATCTCTTCGGTCTCCGCCTTCCCAAGCCGTCAGCCGACAACCTGCTCACCTTGCCTGCTCCATTCCCATACCTATACCACGATTCAGCCAAGGGAAACTGAAGAAGGATAGTTGATATGGCGGCGCAAGGGCAACAAAAGCCTCAGATTCAGCCTTGCCGGTATAAGACTGGTACGCTTGGATCGCCGGACCTTGTGTGGTACATCTTGCTCATATTCGCCTAGGGAAAACGCTGGGCGCAGGTTCATACTCGGTGGTTAAGGAATGTGTCCATATAGATACGGGAAGATACTATGCTGCAAAAGGTTCGCACAGAGACCGTCTGGAGCCGGCTCCATAGTTGACCTTTTCGCAGTCATCAACAAACGGCTTATGGCCGGCAGGGAGCATATGGTCAGCTGCACCTTGATCACGAGTGTGAAGCTATCCACTGACGGATCCCTCGCCAGGTTCGGAATGAGATCGCAGTCCTCAAGCGTGTCTCAGTGGGACATCGCAATATTCTCACCCTTGTTGACTACTTTGAAACCATGAATAACTGTACGACTGACACTCCTCGCGTCTGGATATCTCTGACATCGCCGCAGTATACCTTGTGACAGACCTCGCTCTAGGTGGAGAGCTTTTCGACCGCATCTGCCGCAAAGGCTCTTACTACGAATCCGATGCCGCCGACTTGATACGAGCGACTCTGTCCGCAGTCGCATATCTCCATGACCACGGCATCGTGCACAGAGACTTGAAACCAGAGAATCTATTGTTCAGAACGCCAGAAGATAACGCGGATCTCTTGATTGCAGATTTTGGTTTATCGAGAATCATGGACGAGGAACAATTCCATGTCTTGACCACGACGTGCGGCACACCAGGGTATATGGCGCCCGAGATATTCAAAAAGACAGGCCACGGCAAGCCTGTGTGAGCACACTCCCTCCTGATCTACCTGGCGACTCTTCAAGACTGATGCAGGTT